ATGGATCCCATCCCATCCCATCCCATCCCATCCCATCCCATCCCATCCCATCCCATGGATCCCATCCCATCCCAGCCCATCCTGTCCCACAGGAGACTTGGTGCCACAGGTGTCCCCAGGACCTGACTACTCCCTGATGACCCAGTGCCATGAAGACCTTGGGGTCTGGGTGCCACAAAACATGGGCCACCCCATGGGAAKGCCAGCCCCATGTCACCACCCTGCTGCCCCGGGGAGGTCCCCAGTGCCCCCCATGTCCTCCGGGTGCTCACCCGTAGCGGTCAGCGCCCAGCAGTGCCAGCTGGAAGCCCAGCAGCCCGTAGAGGTAGGAGTGATTGTTCCAGGAGGTTTTGTCCAGCAGCAGCAGGTACCAGTAGGGGCACAGGAACGCCACGCAGCTCAGCCGGTAGCAGCACCCCAGCATGATGCCCAATGCTCCTGCAGGCACAGCATCCCCAGTGTGACCCCTGTCCCCTCCTGGTGCCTGTCCCCAGTCTCCCTCTGCTCCCCTTCCAGTCCCAGGGTCTATCCCAGTGCCCATTGCCACTTCAGTGCCAGTCCCCAGCCAGCAGCAGCACCCCAATACAATGCCCAGAGCCTCTGTGGGCACCTCACACTGTGCCACCCCATGTCCCACTGGGGACCCTCTTGGTGCCACCCTCTGCCTGTCCCTKCATCCCTCCCAGTCCAYCCCAGTCCCAGTGTCAGTCCCCACTGTGGCTCCCTCCCCCATCCCACCCTTCTTTCTGTCCCAGTGCCACTCCTGCCTGTCCCTTTCTGCATCCCCATGCTTCTCCAACTGTTCTTCCAGTCCCAGGGCTCATCCCAGTTCCAGTACCATTCCCACCTCAGTGCCAGTTGCCACAGCAGTTCCTGTCCCCATCTGACCCTGCTTCTGTCMTAGTGCCACCCCTTCCTGTCCTGTTTCTCCCCTTCTGTGCCCCCATCCTCCTCCAACTCCCTCCCAGTCCATCCCAGTGCTCATTCCTGCCCCAGTGCTGGTCCCCACTGTGATTCCTGCCTGCACCCCACGCCTGTTTCTGCCATCTCCCAGTCCATCCCAGTGCTCATTCCCTCCCCAGTGCAGGTCCCCACCGTGATCCCATGCCCATTTGTGCCCCTGTCCCGCTGCAGTCCATACCCAGGAACATGACGGTATAGAGCAGGTACATCCAGTCCAGGGGCAGGGGCTGCAGGAAGGGCAGCAGCGGGAAGCGGCACACCTCCAGCCCGTCCAGGTACCGCTGGTCCAGATGGCCCAGGCCCCGCTCCTGCGGCACATCCAGGGCCATCAGCAGCCCTGTGAGGAGGATGAAGGGGGATCAGTGACCCCACTGAGCCGGGGGGACCCAGGCATCCATCGGTCAGTGACCCTGTCCCCCCCGCCCAGCCTCAGGGGGCCCCGGCTGTCCAGGCGGGCACTGACCCCCTCCACCATCCCGGCTGCTGCCCAACCTTTGCTCTGGTGCTGACGTGTCACAGCTGGACGCCTCCGGCCCCCCTCGCATGGGGGAGACCCCYCGGGATCTCAGCCCCTCTCCCCAAGCCCCTGAGCCCCGCCAAAGCCCCGGAGCCCCCAAGTCTCTGGATTTCCCGGGTCCAGGCTCCCTGTCCCCCCAGCGCCTCCACAGAGCCCTCCTGGAGCTCCCCCACCCTTCTCAGCCCCGTCTCCATGTCCCTCCAGCCACCCCAGAGCCCCCCTCCACAGAGCCCTCCTGGAGCTCCCCCACCCTTCTCAGCCCCGTCTCCATGTCCCTCCAGCCACCCCAGAGCCCCCCGGGCCCCGCAGCCACTCCGGACACCCCAGCCCCCACTTCCCCTGTTCCCCCATTTCCCCTCCTGAGGCCACTCTGACCCCCCAGCCCACGATCTCCCTGTCCCCCCGAAGCCCCCCTGGACCTCCCATCCCGAGGGTTCCCCGTGCCCTTGGAGCCCCCCGGAG